GTGGAGGTGTGAGGCTAGGGGGGAGGACAGAGGGAAGGCCAGCATGAGGACGCGGGCGCACCTGCGCCGGGGGAGACGCAGCACCCCCACGGGTTCGGCCCCTTCCCGGCAACTCCCACCTGCCCCTTGCCCCCGCCACCAGGGTAATGAGGGAAATGTCAACAGAAGCAATTGCTAGGAGCCTTACAGAGAAACTGCCCTATTGAGTTTTTTAAATTAAATCTATTTATAATTTATACCCTGCTGCTTCCAGAAAGGATTTGAGGTGGTTTACCATAAACGACACATAAAATGGAAAGGCCGCTAAGTAGAAGGAGAAAAATCAAGACCACCACGCAGCAGGAGGAGGCAGAAGATCTCCCAAACGCCCAGGCTTAGGGACAGGGTGACAGATGACGTATTCCAGCTTGACACCCAGCATCCGGGCCACTGGTGCAAAATGGGCGATCATTGCCACAGACCACAGGGCTCTGAGTGCCCCGGGGATGCTCGCCCCCCTGCTCTGGCAGCAGCTGGGTTTTCCCCGCTGGCTACAGAGTGAAGTGGGAAGACTCCCGGCTCTGGAGCCCAGCTGCCTCCCTTTCTCAAAACTTTCTGCTCTGCTCTCCACTGGTTCTCAGCAGATGGACTCTACTCTCCGGGACCGGGGGTGCCAGCCTCTCCCCCTCCCTGATGGCACCACCAGCATGAGCAACCTGTGAACAAGAACCTCCCTTTCCCTACTTTACAGGTGAGGGCAATAAGGCTCAGAGAGGGTAGGGCAAGTGCCCGAGGCCACGCAGCCAAGCAAGGGGCAGAGCTGGGACCCGAACGCAGGCAGCCTGGCTTCCTAGCTAACACTTGCACCTTGCATGCATGTCCCCCCATCTCTCTAAATTGGGGCCTTGGCCTGTCTGGGAAACAGAAATGTGGCCGTGTTTCTGAGTTGCAGATGACACTGTCCACTTCTTGAGCTGCTTCAGACTGAGCCAGCAGGGGCGACCTCGAACACTGGGCAAGTCCCACTCCGTCCCATTAAAGGTTCTTTGCTTCCTTCTCACCCTGGCTAACACCTAGTCCTTTCGTTACATAGAAATACAAACTAAAATGCAGTGGTAGCCCTTTGTGTATCGCTGGAACCCCACGTCCCATCCGCCTAGATGCGGGTGGTGTTAGGACACGGGAGTAAAACTCTAAACGTGCCCTCGGGTCCACCAGCAGAGTCCGTGGAGCCCCTCCATGGAGACATTCACACAGGGGCAAGGAGCAAAAATGTTACACATACATCAAATCGTTACACTGGATGCCTTAACTGATACAATGTTCTGTGTGAACTACATCTCCATAAAGCTAGAAAACCAAACACGGGAACGAACCAAAAGAACACTGTTTATAACGGCAGAACAGCAGAGCACCCCAATGTCCATCAACGAAGACCATCCACGGCCTGGAATACGATGCAGCCGGAAAAAGGACGCGGGATTCCTCCGCAAGCTCCCATGGGACTAGCAGCTCCCCTCCTAGGTATAACCCAAAGGAGATGAAAACAGGTGCCCCACAAAAACCTGCCCGTGAATGTTCACGGCTACACTGTTTTCCTGAGCCGGAAGGTGGAAACACTCCGGAGGTCCGTAGGCAGAGGGACTGGTACACAGAACATGGCACGTCCATTCGCAGGACAATTATTCAGCCATAATCAGGAGGGAGGTCCTTCCACCTGCTACTATGTGGGCGCTAGGCTCAGTGAAAGGAGCCAGGCACAAAAGGCCAAGTCTTGTAGGATCCCATTCAAATGAAATGCCCAGAACAGGCAAATCCACAGAGACGGAAAGCAGATTCGTGGTTGCTGGGGCTGGTGGCTTGGGAGTGGGAATGGGGAGGGCCTGCCTCCTGGCACAGCGTTTCCCTTCATGGGACAAAGTGGGGGTCCTGGTTGCCCAGCCTGAGTGTACGTAACACCTTGAGAGGCGTGTTTTGAGTACGGTGGTAAAATTTTAAGTTATGTGGATATTCTCATGATTTAAATATGATAAAGAACAGAATAAAAAAGAATCAGTCTGCTTCATTGAAAAACAAAAAAGAAAAAGAGTGTGAGAAGCCTGTTAGCCCAAACTTGGGGAGACCGCCAAGACACCACAGAGGTGAGGAATCCCTCATTCTTTTTACCTGCTGCGTCATGTTCCAGGCCGCGAATCGTCAGGCTCGTTTCCCCGAGTCCTCTGTCGATGGGCCCTGAGGTGCTCTGCTGTTCTGCCGTTATAACAGTGTTCTTTTGGTTCCTTCTTGTGTTTGTGTTTCTAGCTGTATGGAGGTGTACTTGACACAGAACACTGGGTACGTGGAAAACACAGGTCGCAGGATAACGCCGAGAGTAGGGTCCAGTTAATGGAAGAAAACGATTCAAATATATTTGAAATGCGCACAGTTCATGTGTGATAAATGGGGCAACCTTCGGGGCAGGGTAGGGGTGAAGGGGGAGGATGAAGGGAAATTCTCCACTTTGAACCCTTTGGGGAAATGTTTTGCAACAAGAGCTCATGCTTGTGCCCTATGTCCATGGAGAGTTCCATGCTCACTGCCTTTCCTCCCCATGGCCAATCCCTCTGGGTGTCCTGGCCTTTCTAGGGGCCCTGTCACCCCTCCAATGTTCTCTCCCTTTACACACTTGGCTGACCTCACTGAGGCTTACTCTGGAAAGACCCCCAGACCCCCCGCAAAGGGAACTCGAAGTCCAGCAGGGAGACCAGCCACCACCACAGGACCATCCCTCATCAAATTCAGTGATGCTCACCAAGGAGAAGGTACTGGAAAAGCTCCCAGAAGACGTGACACATGGACACCCACAATTACCTGGGAGGCTTGTTAAAGCCCCCAAATCCTAAACCAGACCCCAAATCTGCTGAGCCAGAATCTCCAGCGTGGGGGTTCTCTCCAAGGCCAGTCTGGTGAGCATAACCATCAGCCACACAGCAGCTGCCTGCACTCCTGCCATCACCACCTGCATCCCTTCTGCTCCAGACAAGATGCTCGGCCTGCAGCTACAACCCTCCCTAGGTCCCAATAGGGCCCTGCTGTCTCACATCTGCTTTCCTTCCTCTGGTCCCACGGAGGTGCCTGAAATACCTTAATGCCCCAAGTTGGGAAACTTTGGATCCAGACAAGGGGTCTCTAGTCCAAGGCAGACCACATTCCTCAGCCAGATTGATAACCTGTAGCTGAAAATGATCTGGGTTTGGGAAATGAACGTGACATTGGATCTGAGCTGTCAATGAGCCTGCAGACCTGGCCCTGGGTGGCCGGCCTGTTTGCTCAAGGTGACGGTCTGCTCATGGGGGTTATGAGCTTTTTATGGGCCAACCTGCGCCCTCCTGGCCTCTTCGCCGGGCCATTTGGCTGCGTCTAAATCAAGACATCTCAGTCCGCAGCCACCGTGAGGCATTCACGCACCGGGCCGCCTTTCTTCCCCTTGTAATCGAAATCTAATTTATTGGCCCAGGGATGCAGGGAGCAGCCCACGCACATAGCTGGTGTGCAGTGAAGAATATAATATACAACGTTCCCATGTAATAAGGCTCTTTCTAGAAGGCATTAAGTAGGGGCTGGCTCGGAGCGCCAACGCAGCCTTGATTAATCCCCGCCTGGAAAACATCTAGTTCCAGACCTCAGAAGGCTCTGTGGGGGCAGGATGGGGTTTGGCGCCTCCGAATTCTCCGGCTGCTTCTACATCTGGATGGTTTATAAGATTAGATGTGATTAAGCTCCCTGAGGGCAGGAGTCGTTTTTATAGGTGCCTCTCCCCCGTCTAGCCGTGATGGAAGGTATGCAATAAACTCTCGTTCAAAGAATCTGGATGGAATTGAAGTGAAAAGTTATTCTTTGTGCACTTGCTATGACTTTGGGTTTGGCTTCCTCAGCTGAGGAAGAACGGCCCTCTCCTGCCTCCGGAGGCCCGAGAGTCCCAGTGGCCCAGGATCTGGGAAGCCTGGCTCCTTCGAGAACCACAGTGGCTGCTGGGCCTGAACAAATCCTTGAGCTCCCGGGGCCTCGGTTTCCGCTCAGGTCCTGGGGGGCAGTGGGGATCCCAGGAGGAGGAATGAAGGCTGCTCAAAGGACATTCACAGAACACTCACGGAACTCACCGTGAGGTACCCCTCTTCCCCACAGAACACTCGGGAGCATGACTGGAGCAAACATTGGTTCATTCACCTGACAAATCCTCAATCTCCTTGACTCTAAGAAAGCTACTCTTTTCACCTCAGAATCTCCTTGACACAGAATGCCTTGGAACATCGACATTTTTGATTCAGCAGGAGTCCAAATCCAGCCCACATCCAGCCCGTCGCCCATGTTTATAAATAAAGTTTTATTGGGACACAATCCGGCCCATGTGTTTAGGGTCTGACCAGGGCTGCTCTTGCAGCTTCTCTCTAAGACCAAGTCAACAGGAGAGCCGGTCCTCTGTGGCCCAAACCTCCAGGCCCCGATGACCCCTGCTCCCACCACTGCGGACCCAGAGCCCTAGAAATGCCTCCGTCCATCCCTGAGCTGCACCCGCTTCCTGCCCAGAGTTCACTGGGTCACGTCGAATGCAAGTCTCATCCAGTCTAGAAGAGCATCAACAAAGCACGTTTTTTAAATCATGTTGGGCCGCGGGGCCCGTGCTTGTCACCAGGCCTCTGGGAGGGAGTTCCAGCTGTTGTCAAGTATTTAACGTGGCCACAGACAGCCACGGGCCGGGTCCTTGTGGGCACGGCCTTTGTTGGGTGACACGCAGAGGCTGTCACACAAGGCCTGGCCCCCTGGCCTGGGGGAGCGACTGCCTACAGCTTTGAGGCCAGAAACAGAGCAGAGAGCCCCCATCACCCACACCCTCATCGAGCACCTGGAAAGGGCCTTTGCTCTGAAGCACCGGGAGCCCTTCCCTGAGCCCAGGGTTTGCTGTCAATCAAATGACAGCAGCGTTCAATCTCCATGCGGGGCCCTGAGCGCAGGCCCCCAACACGGGCACTGTGTGTTTTCAGTTTACAGAAGCCTTCCCTGGGGCCCAGAGGTGATGGCGCGCTCTCCCGGCTGGAGGAGGGGGATGGGGCGACCGCCCGGCCCATCAGACGGCGCCAGCCCAGGCTCGGGCAGGCGGGGCCCCTGCAAGGTCAGGACACTGCCCGCCTGGCCCGCAGACGCTCGTCTGATGGAAGTCGCCAGACCGCCAGGCAGCGAAGCGCGAAGCTCCCCACCCGTGGCAGGTCACGCAGGCAGATATCTGCTTTCGCGAGGCTCCTCGCATGGCCTTGAAGAATCGACGGAGGCAGAGCGGAGGCCAGCCTGGCGTGGGGAAGATGAAACTGTGACATTGAACAACCTGAGTACAGCAGCTGCTCCGTTGCTGTGGGAGCTGGACGTGACGTGAAGTGTGAGCTCGGAGCACGGTCCCGCCAAGGCATCTTGCGGGGAAGGGGGGCACGAAACGTTCTGAGATCAGAAGCTCCCCCCACACTAAACACTTGAGCTCATACTAAGTGCTCATACTAAGAGACAAGAAGAGTCCCTGCCCTCCGACAGCACACCGGCCAGAGACAGAGCACACGTGGGAGGCTGAGGTCCCGCTGGTCCCAGGGTGACCCAAAGAGGGCAAGCCTGCAAACCCCAGTGCCCCGACTGCTCAGGGTCCAGGTCCCGTGGAGAGACCTACTCAGGCATGTGCATTCCAAACAGCCAAAGCTTGTTCAAGCAATTAAAAAAGAATGCCACTCTAATTTGCATCTTTTGATAGAACAATAAAAATGGCACTGAAGGAGGAAACTTGTCTTCCTCCTTCCCTTCCTTTCTCTTTCTCTCTCTGTCCTTCTTCCTTCCTCTTTCTCTTTCTTTCTGTCTCTCTCGTCCTTCTTCTTCTTCTCCTCCCTCTCTTGGCCCAAGACCTGTGTTTAGACATTTTGGGCCTAGTGGAGACCATCGTGGCGGCAGAGTGGATTCTGGGGTTGGGACAGCTATAGATACTGAAAGGTTAATATGTGCACAAGAAATTGTAGGTCGCGTCACAGATAAGAAAGACGTGTAGACGAAATTTCAGAACCCCCCCGCCCCTTTGTTTTAGTGAGAGAAACTCCGAGTCTGGAGACGAGGGTGCATTTTGGCATCGCTGCTGACGCTCACAAGTAGCTCTGGTGGATGTTGTCTGTGTTTTGCCCTGAGATAAAAACGTCAGTCTCCAGTGAGCTGTCGTGGCCCTTGGGGACCGGAGAAACACCTGCTGTGCCGTGCTCTGCTCCTCTCCCGTGCACACCTCCTTCCTAGCGCCTCACCCACTTCCCCTCCACCAACCTCCCTCTTGCCCAATGCCCTTTCCTTCACCTCCTAGTTCCCCGTTATGCTGGCAAGGAGCCCCCTCACCAAGGAAAACGAGTCCCTTCCCTCCTCCTTGCCCCTGACGTTCGCAGCTCCTCCTCCCAGTGCTGGCATCCAGGGTCACCACACCTCTCTGGGGCGGCGGGGGGGCGGTCCTGGTTTGTGCCTGTCACTCTGGGATCATTCTCAATCGCTTCCCTTCTCATCCTCTAAAGTGTCTCAGTTTGAACAACATGTTCTTTCTGCTAATACATCACCTTTTGGTGAGGACTGCTGCTTCCCCAAGCCTTCTTTAGGTAGCCCCCCTGACGTTCTTCCAGATGGCCTGCTCTGTTTCCCTGTGGGGTGTCTCACTCTGAAGTCAGTATTTTGCTTGAGAGCAGAACATCTGTTTTGTTTTCCATCTAGAGCAGTGCTAGTCTTAGTAAACCACTGAAGACGTGTGTGTGGAGGATGGATGGACTGATGGGATGGAGGAGATGGATAGATGGGTAGATGGATGGATGGATGGAGGAATGGATGGATGGATGGACGGACAGACAGAACAGACGGTTGGGTGGATGGATGGATGGATGGACGGATGGATAGATGGATGGGTTTTAGGGAAACCAGGTTCCCACCTGAGAGAAAAGTGACCCGGAAGAAGATGCTGGTAGAGAGAACGGATGGTTTGGAGTAATTTTGGGGGGCAGTTTGGTGACCCCTGCTTTAGCTCAGAGAATGGAAATTCTTTAGGTGCCCATTTTACCTCAGACTTCAGCAGTCAGATTTGTACACATCAAAGAGTTAGAAATGGGCAGTTACAGCAGTCTGTGTGACGGCCTCAGTATTCTCTGTAAAAAGATGTATAAGGAATCTCTTCTTGATATTTCTCTGTGGGACATACTGAGGTGGGTTTTCTGACTGAGCGCTAAGCCTCCAAATTGTTGCATCCACAGAGAGGTCTTTTTCCTTCCCTCTTTCAGCAGGTTTTAGGAAAAACAAACCACTCTTTCTGCATGGGTGAGGAAGAAAAGCAGCAGCAGACTCAGAGAGTTAAATCATCTTCATTACTCAGCGGCCCGCCATCTTGAACCTATGCTTCTCCTGGGAACACATTGGTTATGTGAGTAAATGTGATTTTTGGTGGAAAGAAAATTCAAATGTGCTCTTCAGATGAACATATGGCTTCTGGACACCAGTACCGAGCCATCTTAGAAATATTTTCCAGAGGGTAGGGTTGGGGGTGGTGAAGCCACTCTATGACTAGACCTTAGATCTTCTGCCCTCTTTCCACTGAGTCGGTGGCTTCCAAAATCACCACTGCGTAGGTAGCAGGAAGGAATGGGGTGGGGGAAGGGGCCCAGAAAATGGGTTTTTTGGAACTGTCGGCACATTTATAACAGAATTGTAACTGTATAATGTTATTGTATCATTTAACTGACATGTCTACTTTGGAATGTTTATAACTACCGTAAATCAAGAGACCGCCAAGCCAGGGCAGCCGCCGCACATAGACATTCCAAGGAAAATGTATAAAATAAATAAAACAATCACACAGTATCAACATTCCATTCCTGCTCAGAAAATGGAAAATTAACAGCTCCTGCATAAATGTAAGCGCCCAAAACTGAGTTTAGGGGAGCTGAGGGGGCCCGGGCCTCCTTGCTAGTTCTCAATAAAGATGTCAAGTGAGAAAAAAGTTATGAAGCCCGTAAGAACAAAACGCTTGAGCCCCGACAGCAGCCTCCCCCCTGCCACCTGGTTCCTCGGGCATTCCCCTCTAGAGGGGTGCAGGGGGCACCATGATTTCTCCATCTTCGGTCTGTGATTTCCTGCACTGGGGAGGGAAGCGGGAAATCATGATAGCTTTGCTCTTGGCCTGTTTTATGACTTCGGACCAACTGACATTATCTAAAGAAAAATAGACAGTTGCTGTCCCCAAGGCAAGAAGTTCTCCGGATTGACAAACTGCTTGAGATTTCTGACCTCCATGATGGTCTGGGAGGCCTCAGCTACTCTGTGTTTTGACCAGAGGCTTATAAAATACACGTCTCCATGAAGTCTGGCTCGATAAACATTGGGTCGTTACATATAACAGCATGGTGAGATCAAGGATTCCGAAAACAATAGCTCACTGGTTTTTTTCGAAAATGTTTGCAGAACACCTGGGTGATTCAGTCGGCTGAGCAACCAACTCCCAGCTCAGGTCTGGATCTCAGGGTTATGAGTTTGAGCCCCACGTTGGGCTTCAAGCTGGGCAGGGGGCCTACTTTTAAAAAATAAAAAAGTGTCTGCAAAGCCCTTCTGCTCCATCTTTCCTGTCTTGGGCCCTTTGAGGTAGGACGGACTAGCTCAGGTAATAAAAACTACCAAAAGTTGAAAATTAATAACCACTGGGGATTCATTACCTCTTAGAGGGCCTTGAGGGAGATTCTTCGTTCTCCCAGGGGAGGGTCTCTGCTTTCCCACAGCACTGGAAGAAAATGCCAGACTTGTTTCCCCTGAAGTGTTTGAGAGTATTTTCCAAACACTCTATTTTCATCTTTTTGAGCTCAATTTGCCTTTGCTCATCAGATCAGAAAAATGGACAGACTTTGGATTTTTTTTCAGGAGCTTGGACTTCTGAGTAGGAAGCAGGGAATACATTTTGTCCCCACCTCTTTGGTGGTCTCAGAGATGTTTAGAAAGTTTAGACTCAAAAAGAACCCAAACAGGGGCACCTGGGTGGCTCAGTGGGTTAAAAAGCCTCTGCCTTTGGCTCAGGTCATGATCCCAGGGTCCTGGGATCGAGCCCCACATTGGGCTCTCTGCTCAGCAAGAAGCCTGCTTCCCCCCTCTCTCTGCCTGCCTCTCTGCCTACTTGTGATCTCTGTCTGTCAAATAAATAAATAAAATTTAAAAAAAAAAAAAAGAACCCAAACACACAGAAAAAGAATTTCGAGTGGGGGCTGGTGCTAATAACAGAGACCCAGGGCCTGCCACAGCCATTCCTGCCCCTTGGTGGGCACAGCGTGACTCCTTCCTTGGACCTTAATTTCAGAAGGAAAAAAAAAATATCTTCAAACTCGGGTCTAGAATTCTTATTTCTAGCCCAGGGCAGAAATGCGGGGACAAGTGCAAATATTTGACCAAGTCCAGCTTTTTTCTTGGTGTTTTTCAGACCAAGTCAGTTCTGAGGGTGTTTTTTGCAAGTCTCTGCCGGTCTGGGTTTTGAACGCTCACTGCTTTGGACTGCGAGTTGGTGAGGACAGGGCCTGGCAGAGGGCCCTGTACCCTTGGAGCTTCTCATATGACAATTGGACCAACAGAACTGCGCCCTCCCTATACCTGTCCTTCCTGAAATGCCGTGCTCTCCACCCGCCGATGGGAAAAAATTGGTCCCTGATTAGCATTCCATTTTTACACCGAATGGACAGGGGCTCAGACTGCAGAATCCCAGATGCTGATATTTGTATTACTGGATCATAATTACATTTCAAAAAAAAAATGACTGCTCCCTGGAAGTTAGAGTAATTGTCCCTTCTTTGTCCTTCATCTGCCTCCTCAAGCGGCCCTCGGGTGATTTATTATTTTGGGGACCCAGAGGGGACACAGCACTCCCTGTCTGTAAAGGTCATGCAGTTAGAACAGACTTTATCCGGGTCAGAAGTTACCCTCGGACACCAAGGGGAAACTCCCAGGGAGGTTAATCAACATCCAGCCCAGAGCCGGTCAGCGAGCCCGCGCTGCGGTCCGGGAGGGGAACCTATCCTCACAGAGATCCGATTTCTCCAAGGGCAGATTTCTGCGCCCCCGCCCTGCCCCTCCAGATGAAGAAATCAT